GGTCCAGGGTGCATCCCAGAACAGAGCTGGCCTTCCTGATGAGTTTATCCAACCTCTTCCTCTCAGCTGCCGATAAACCGCTGCTCCAACATACAACACTGTAAAAAATGACGGATGCCACCACAGAGCCATAGAAGGTCTTTAAAAGTGCTACCTGTACTCCAAATGACCTCAGCCGCCTCAGCAGGTAGAGTCTGCTCTGGCCCTTCCTGTAAAGAGTCTACAAAGTCCAGAGTCCACTGTCTGTACTCTGAGACGACTATGGCAGAGTCGTCAGAGAACTTCTGTAGGTGGCAGCGTGGGGAGTTGATGGAGAAGTCTGCAGTGTAGAGGGTGAAGAGGAACGGTGCCAGCACAGTTCCCTGTGGGGCCCCCGTACTGCAGACCAGTGTATCAGAGACACAGCCCTGTAACCTCACATACTGTGGACGTTCTGTGAGGTAGTCCAGTATCCACTGGGACATGTGGTGGTCCACTCCTGATAGCTCCAGCTTGTCTCTCAGAAGTCGTGGCTGGATGGTGTTAAAAGCACTGGAGAAATCAAAGAACATGATCCTCACAGTGCTTCCAGGCTTCTCCAGGTGAGTCAGAGCTCGGTGCAGGAGGTAGATTATGGCGTCCTCCACCCCAATGCCAGGCTGGTAAGAAAACTGCAGCTGATCCAATGAAGACCTCACCACACAGTTCATCTGCGCAGCATCTCAGGAGCCTGGAGCTGATGCCATCTGGACCTACAGCCTTCCGCACCTTGATCTTGCGAAGCTCGTTCCTCACTTGAAGTGCTGAGATAGAAAGAATGGATTTTGGGGGAGGGTGGTGTATGATGGAGTCCACAGAAGCAGGGGGTGGGTGTAATGACTGGGAGCTGGGAGCTGTCCTGAGATGAAGGACAGGCAGTCCCTGAAGACGAAGGAGATTGCAGCAGGGGGGACGATGCTGTGGGAGGGGTGGGTGGTTGATAAAACCTATTAAAATATTATTTAGGTCATTCACCCACCCCAAGTCTCCTGCAGCCTGGGGGGTTGGTTTTTGTCCTGAGATTGTCTTCAGGCTGTTCCAAACCCCTCTGATGTTGTCCTGTTGCAGCTGCTCCACCATCCTGCTCTAGTTTTCCTTCCCCTGTCTTATCTTCCATTTCAGCTTCTTCTCAGCTCCTGTTTGTCTCCAGATCTAAAGACTCTCTTCTTCTCCTTGAGGAGAGCCTTAATTTCAGGATTTATCCATGGCTTGTTGTTAGAAAAACACCGTACCTTTTTGATGGGTACGGTGTTGTCCACACAGAAGTTCATGTAATCCGTAATGCAGTCTGTGATGCTGTTGAGGTCATCCTCCAGGGGGCTGCAGAGGTTGTCCCACACAGTAGAACGGAAAGAGTCCCTCAGGGCCTCTTCAGTCTCTGCTGACCATTTCCTTACTGTGTGTTTCAAACACAGAGGTTTCAAATGAAACCTCTGTGTTTGAATTTCGATCAGCTGACCTCAGCCTCACTTTGTTTCTCTGCTTTTTCATCTCCGTTGTGTTTGTAGGTGCAGAGTCTGGTAGGGGAGAAGCTGTTTGACCGCTATGACCGTCTCCTGCTGCAGAAGACTCTGGACAGCATGTCTGGTCTGTTTTCTTTCTGTTGCTGTTATACTGATTGTGTGATGAATGCTTTCATAGACTGATCAGAATCTATTTATTACATTTCTGGGTTAGACCTGGTAAAAAGAACATCTTTAGCTCTTTTTCATAAATATCTCATTTCTTTTGGCATCTTTTTGTCTCGCAGATGTGACGTACTGTCCTCGAATATACTGCGGCTCTGCCGTGATTTTGGAGAAATCCAGCAAGGCAGCGCTTTGCTCTGAGTGCGGCTTTGCCTTCTGCGTCATATGCAGAAAAACATACCATGGAATGGGGAAGTGTGAGACCAAGAAAAAATATGCTGAAAGATATATAATAGACCTGCCACAGTCACAAGGTACACAGATATATGCTGTGTGACCACAAGAAAAAAGTTTCAAAGAATAATGAAAATGACAACATCCAGTCACAGTAAATGTAAAGCTGTTTCACAAATGAGACTTTGGAGGTTTGAAAGTACAGGAGGTAACTGGATGATTGCTTTGAGTCGATGCAGATGTGTGTTTAGTCCAAGTGTAGATGCTGGTGTCCTGTATGTGTCTCTTAGTGGGGGTGAAGGCTCTGTGGGAGGACTATGTCAGTGGCAGCAGGGAGAGGAAACGCCTGCTGGAAAATAGATATGGCTCAAATTTACTGGTGTCCATTATGGAAAAAAAACCTAACCGACAGCTGGATTGCCAACAATAGCAAGAGTTGTCCTGAATGCTTCACTAGAATAGAGGTTTGCACTCACCTGAGCACATTCGTACAAACTTGAGAGCACAGAGCAGTTCAGAGAGAGTTTCTGATTGAATTTGCTCATACGTGTGTTGTGCTTTACGTTACAGAAGGATGGAGGGTGCAACCTGATGTTGTGCACTCGCTGTAAGAAGATTTTCTGCTGGAACTGCCTCACCAGACTGACTCCAGAAAAAACAACCGAACACTTTTATGGGGGTCAATGCTCTTCCTAATGCTAACCTCCCCAGCTATCAGCTACTTGAATGTGGTTTTTTTTTTGCATTTTTAAATATTTACTGTGTACATCTTTAAAGAAAACCTGTATAAAGGCACACAAGACAGCAGTTATTTTAAAATGTTTGTCTTTATCAGAAAATGGAAAAAAATATATTTCCTGTTACCACGGGTTTCTGCTCTTGCCTTAAAAGTCATTCCCAAATGACACCATGTGTCATACTGTCTCATAATCAGCAGGGGGCAACAAAAACAGGCACAAAAAACGAACTTTTGGTTCCTTAGAAAACACAAAGTGCTGTAACTTAACAAAAATTGCCCTCTTTGGCTGTTTTATTTGCCTTAGGCCACAATGAAGCATTTATACCAAAGGTGTATGTTCTAACTCATTATAATTTGTGGCCTTTACTGTCAACATACTGATCAATTATTCTTTCAGTTAATGAACAAATTATGTGGTCAGAAAACAGACACATTTTCCAGAACCCTGTTTTTTCAAACCAACAGTTCAAAAACACAAATGTCTTTTTCTCCCGATGAACCAAATTAACTGAGCAAGTATTTCCCAGACTGATGAATTCCTCTGCTTTTAGATGTGTGCTGCTGTTAAGTACTGTTATGGCACAAAAATGCTCTGTGCAGTCATTATCACTGTACCGTTTGAACTCTGAGGGAAAAGACAGGTTCACACTGCCACAGATATATGCAGCTGCAACAACTACAGGTAAAGCTTCTGACCTTGACGTGCATGTTTCATTTCAATTCCAGCAGCAGCCTACAGGTAGATCCTGAACACGTGGCTTCTTTCCCCTTCCTCCCTGTTATGACAGTGCAACAAAGACGCCAGCATGTTTGATTTTCTTGTCTGTCCAGGAAAAATCCTGCTTCCTCATCACTTCCTCATAAATGTCTAAACAGCAGTTTGCCTTTATAACCCACAGAAGGAGACTGCACAATGCAAGAATACTTTTTAATTGTATCGGTTACACCTTTATTTTTCCTGCTAGCACAAACAAAATACATGCTTCATTAAAAAAAGACAAATTTACTAACTCTCCAGACTGGAACCCCTGTAGCTCCACAAATGCAGGCTCATCCTTTAGTTAGAACACCTTGAAACATGGCTCCATCACCTCCCCCTCAACCCCAACTGGTCACAGCAGATGACTTATTCTTCCGAACTATCAAAAGGAGGTTCTTCCTTCCCACTGTTGCCAAGTGCATGCTCATGGGCGTTCATCTGATTGTTGGGATTTTCTCTGTAGGATCTTTAACTTATGGTGTAATATACTTTGCAGTGACTGTTGCAGGGGTTTGGCACCATATAAATAAAACTGAGTAAATTGGAAATCAGTTTGAAATTTCTAGAAAATTTATACTGACACATACAGTGTGTGCTGGAAGGAATTCTTAGATAAAGAAGCATGAATTAAGAAAACTAAAGCAACTGATAATGGTAGTTTATAGGTTTTCACTGCAAGATTTGACTGAAGAAAACACCTGCAATGCATTTTCTAAAGGCGTTGGCCGGTTTTGTTGGCAAAACACTTTCCTTTATACTGGTTCTCAAGTCAAAAACACAGATTTTTTTACTTTGCTCTCAAGGCTTGCACAGATTTGCTTTGCTTGGTACCTAAAATGTGAAGTACACAATGACTTGATTGTGTATTTCACAAACACAATTTTACAATTAAACAAACAAGATATTTAATTTCACAAGTGTTTCAGGGTGACCTTTAGAAAATAGATCGCCACAGTGGACAAGGTGGTAACCTATGAAAAGGCAAAAACTGCAGTTCCTCTAATGATCTCTTGAGGCTGGTCCCAAAAGCGAGTCAGTCCTCACAGACACTGACATTAAAAATGTCCAACTTAAAAAAAACACAAAAAAAACAAAACAAAGCAAAACAAACAAACTTAACATTTACAAAAAATGTTAGTCTCTGCAGCCAGTCTTTTATTTGTAAGACAGCTGGATATCTGCTTAATTTATTTATAACTCAGCTGTTAATGTTTCATTTTTTTAAGCGATGTATTTTCTAAGATGTGGTCACTTTAATTGACAGATGCACAAACACAGGGATGTGTAGCCAATTATTTGGTAGGCCTTGCTTATGGTGATTAAGCCAGTCTACTAAATCCATCACATGATGGCACAGACCATCCAAGAAGCATCATTTTCAGTTCTAATAGCTGTTATAGCTTAGCACTAATTAGCAGGTGTGTGTGTGTGTCTTGCAAAGTCCACAGACAGTGGGCCTCAACCATGTGTCATCTTTAATGTCCAGTCTATGTAGTATTTCCCCCTGATTTCATGTAGCTACTAAGCTAAGATACCCTGTGGTCAGGCTATTTTCTAAGTACTTTGATAATCTGTCTCCAGCACACGTGCAGCTGTAATTTTGACTCATAACCACAAGAGGGCAGGTTTGCGCTCTTATGAATCTGCTGTACACTTTTACACTATTAATTCATTTCCATGTTTTTAGCCGTCTTTAAAATCTGTGACACGATAATATGTTACTTGCTATTCTTACGTGAGTGGTTCACGCAGAGCATGATGCTGTCATCTGTCGTCAGGTAAGCTGATTCTTAATGCACTTGGTGAACTTATTGTGCCCCTGCAAACCCCCAAAAGAGAAATGAAACACTGACTGTAGGATACAGAGTGCACACATCTCAGCTTGTTTCACAGATGAGCAGTGGGGAAATCGGTGCGGCTCAGGATAAAGGTCGACGGGGGCAAAGTACCAGTTAAAAACACACACAACACACACACACTCATAAAGTACTGACCGCACACAAAGGGATCCCTAAACACTAAAATTTCCTTCTCCCTACAGTCAGTGCCAGTCACTTCTACTTTATGTGGCTTAATGTGTGTTAATGGTTGCAATGTCACAGTCACTAAGCCTAATGTGAGGAGTTATATAATCAGTTTTCTCTCTGCCTTTATCTCTCAGACGGTGACTGTTACATTTGCTCGATAGGTAGGAGGGCAAACAAATGAGCAAACATTTACTTTCCTTTTACTGACTGAGCTTTCTGAGCATTATTCTGTGTGTGTGTGTGTGTGTGTGTGTGTGTGTGTCCCTCCTGTCCGTTGTGCCCTCCTGTCCCCTGTGCATGTGTCCATGTGTGTGTCAATGTCTTTCTGACGATTCCCACCCACAGTTTCAGGAGATCTTCACTCAGCCGTCCATCCCAGTGTGGAGAGGAGTGGAATTTTTCCTCTACGAGCTCAGCGGGATCAATAGCAGGCCTACACCTTCAGAAACTGTAAGAGGACACTTTTTTTATAGCAAATAATTTGAAGTGAGCAAATTGTGCACAGGAGTGCATTTTTAGATTGATCCGGTGAAAGTTATCAGTGTTCAGAGGTTATTTGGAGGTCATTTCAGCCTCGCTGTGGTTACCTGAGGCTTACAGTGTTTGGTGGTGTGTGATATTTGTCTCTTCTTTGTCTCACAGCAGAACAGAGTCAAACATCCAGCAGGATCAGAAGATGAGGAGTGGAGTGGGGTTGTGTGTGCTGGGCCTGCTGGGCCTGCTCTGCTCAGTTTTTGGGCAGGTAAGGAGGAAACACCAGATTTCCTGCTCTGAAACCTAGAATATACAAATAAGGCTGCTTGGGGGTGATCAGATCATTTTGTCAAATAAAAGAGGATGTTTTTAAACACCACAGCAAAGATCTTGCATTAAAATCTTTAAATACTTTTAATAAATATAAGCTAAAAGTATTAAAAACAGAACTGCTAAGTTTGTCGGATGCCTCACGTCAAAGCAAGAGCATCACTTACTTTGGGAATTGGAGGATATGTGCTTCATCTTTTTATAGTTTCTGGTAGATTCCCTTACTAGTTTGGTAATCTGGACACTCAGTACATAAGTAGGATGTCTTAAAACCACAAAAAGCAAATAACGATCAACTCTTACTCCCTTATTCCGATTCCGGAGTGCAAATCCACTGCTGTACAAACCTGCAGGGTCACTGACTTTGCCTTGTTTGTACCGTACTTTATTTCAGTTCTTGTGACCCTTTGAAATGACGCAATTTCATTTTGCAGATAATCTGAGGATGAAGAAACATTCACATCTTTTACTTTAGCACAAGCTGCAGTGCAATGCCACAATTTAGAAGCCTTTCAAATGTGGTGCAGCACCTTTTTAAGTGCTCTGCTGTTTTCTGATATCGGGGTATTGACCTGAAAAGTCCTGCATGCAGAGCATTAGTTAAAGGATAACTTGCGAATATACGCAAATAAGGAAAGCAAGTCACCTCAAAGTTTTTGAAAGCTGAACACATGAAGTTTTACAGCCTTATTTACTTCTGAGTAAATTGCAGAAAAACGTAGAAACAGAAAAAAAGAAGTCAGACAAATCACAACACTTTTGGAAAACACTACATTTTTGTCAATTTTAAAAGAAATGAGCCAATTGGTATTTACAAAAACATTTTGGCTTTATTCTAAAAAAAATCACTCTGTGCATCATCTTCCTTCTTTTCATCCAGGAGGCAGCGGAGGTCCAGTCTGGTGTCCTGATCTTTTGTGATGACCCGTCTGTGGAGAAGGCTGTCCACAGCGCTGTGGACGAATTCAACGAGAGGCTGAGCACCGGCCATAAGCTGGCCCTCTTTCAGATACTGAAAGCCAGCAAGGTACAGTGACTGCAGACACATGTGTTACCATGAAGAACAATACTGTGAGATTTTATGAGCTTTTTTGTTACGTAAGTTACATAAGTGGGAATCAAATCAAATTGAGCTTGTCGCTGTTTTTCCTTACAAAGCTAAAAAACAAGAGGATTCAATGCTCTGGGACGATTACCAAAAAATTCAAAGAAAACATGCTGTGGCACTTTGACTTCTGGTGCACACTGATTACATATATTTGTGTGTGTGTGTGTGTCTCCAGTCAGAGAATGGCTCAGACTCAGTGTACTCACTGAAGTTCACTACCTGGAAGAGCGAGTGCACAGCTGACAGCAGCAAACCCTGGACAGACTGTGACTATTTGCAGTCTGGAAGCAAGGTAACAATAATCAGCTCCTCCTCCCATTTAACAACTCGTGGTATGAAAATATTAAAGTTCTCGTTAAATGCTTTAGTAAAAACAAAGCCGTCGCACGGTCTGTCGTGTCCCTCCAGGGGCCGATTTCTTGCAACGCCACCGTCCTCATGTCAGAGACAAAGGCTGAGACAAAGCAGGTGGACTGCCAGATTGGTGAGTGAGGGTGAATAAACTCAGCATCAGATTAAAGTTTTTAACAGTCCTTTCAAAGATTGTATTTTTCTTTGGGTTTTTTTGTTGTCTTGCTGCAGAACATGGTCTATCGAATCCATTCTGACTGAGACCTCATTTTAACACAGAACCAGTTGCTTTTAGAGACAAAATTCCCACATAAGGGACTTAAATCATTATCAAAACCAAAAATATCCACAGTTCTTACACCATGGATGTGTTTACCAGAGTACAGCCACCTAACAGTGAGTCACTGAGGGAAATGGGCACTGGTGGGCTGCTGGGGAAACAGAAGGGGGCTGATTGGGTAACATGCCAACACTATCTGCAAGCACAATATTAACTTATAACACCATAAAAGGCAGTGACGCAGTCTAGACTTTAATCAGTCAAATATAGGCGTTCGGTATATCGATCCTGTGTTTTTCTGTCCCACTCACAGGATATTTTTCAGCTTTTTAAGGCTCAGCTTGCAAACTGTATTTGTACATTAAAGTAGTATTTGATTGTTTCATGTGCGATTTGGTTGTAAAGAAATAAAGTAAGCTAGGTTAAATAAATAGGTGGCATCAGCACATTTACTAGTTTTTAATGATAAATGAAAAGGGCTTGAAATGAAGGCTGGTGGACTTTTAGATTCAGTTCTTCTTGAGTTTAATCACCCAAGGACAGTCCCTGGTATTTAACCCCTGGTGGGAGTGTGTCCTTGGAGGTGGTCCTGATCATTTTTGACCCACCTGGTGTGGATGCGAGTCAATGAAGGTCATATGAACCGAGGTGTGAATCAAGGCATGCAGTCATTTCTGTCACAGATCCTTTATGAGGCACTGCCCCGACCCACCATTATGTGAAGTATAAGGTCACATGTGTCAAGGTGTGTATGGGGGATAAAGCACCTGGGAAGGGATCTCAGGACTGGGTTTTAGGAGATACCCACTGGTGTCTTAACCATTAGGCAGCTGGGTTGCTTTCTAGAGGCTTTGCTTTCCTCCCAGTGCACCATGACCGCCAGATTCCAAAAACAAACAAAAAGTATATTTTCTCTCACTGGCCTGTTTGTATTACAGACTATTTGGGACTGTTTTGTGCACACTGAGATCATGTTGTGTTGATCTAAACACATCCAGAGGGAGCCTGAATTCGGGGCATTCTTTAAATAATTAACTAGATTAAAAACATCATAAATAAATAACATTAGACACTCTTTGAAAAGCTTTAACCAACTCTGTTTGCCTGAACCTTGAGCAGTGATTGGAATATGAGCTTATGCTTTTCCATGACTCCGATTTTTCTCCACTGTAGAAGGGCACATCGTTTCCGAGAAAGCACCTTGCATGGGCTGCCCAGAGCTCATCGATGTAGACTCCGAGGACCTTAAGGTTCCCCTTTCTGTCTCCATCTCCAAGTACAACTCCATGTCTGACTCTACCCACCTGTTCAGTCTGCACAATATTGGCCCCGCCACCAGACAGGTACAGCAGGTGGCATGGAAGTGAAGGGAAAATGGGGAGGACAGGCATCTCTTTTTCTTTCCTTTTTTGTCTTTACGCATCACGTGTATTTGTGTAGGTGGTTGCCGGCTTCAGATTCAAGCTGATTTTTGACATGATGAAGACCGTCTGTTCCAAGGCTGAACACACAGACCTGAACGAGATATGCACCCCAGACAAAAATAATCTGGTAAACCAAAACTAATGCACAAATCACCCCAGCCAAGATGTGCTTCTCACCGTGTGTTCTGTGCATCTGCAGGAATTTGCCAACTGCAACTCTACAGTGGATGTAGCACCTTGGAGACTTGAGCCACCACAGGCCCACATAGAGTGTGCACCGGGTCAAATGCAACCCTCTGTAAGTCCCTCTTTTCACAGGATGAGCGAGTAGACAAGAAGGCAGGAAATAAATGAAAACCATTCACATAGTAACTGCACTGGCTAATATTCACTCTCCCACTCCACTGGATGTATCAGCGGGCTTACCATCTGGGTTGCTTTGGGATATTTTGAACTGGAAGGGCTGGGAATCTAACCACCAACCTTCCAATTTGTGCACCTCAAATTATTCCATCTTAGTCTTTCATCTAAGTTATCGGAAATTCATTTTATAATTATGAAAATTAAGTGTTATCCATCTAAAAGAAACGTGCACATTTCTTTAATGGAAAAGTTTAACTAGGTTCAGAATTCTCGTTTCATTCGGTTGTCGTATTAGACGCTCTGTTTTAATCACTCCGCAGAAATCACTGTCAACGTACAGAAAAGAAATAATTTTTAAAAAGAAAACAGAATTTTTTGTCACATTACAGTTGATCCCAAATTATTGCAAAGTACGGATATATGAAGAAAATCATCTTGGCTTTGTGGCTGGAAATGGTGAAGATTTGTGGTTCTTACTTTGAGAGCTCAGCCTTTAAAGCCAGGATAGAATTTAAAATGGGTTCTTTGCTAAGTTCTTTGTTATGTGTTAACACTCGCTCATTCCTTTTTATGTTAGGTTAGTGTGAAGTGGCTTAACAAATGAAAGAATATTCTTCTGAAATGATCAGGTAGAAGGAATACGAGTGAAAAAGCAGCCAATGTCCAAAGTAAATATTTGACCTTAAGAAAGCCTGGAGAAATACTTGCAGTTCAAGAGCATTTCAACAATTTACAAGAAAGTCAGGCTACTTGGAATTAAATGATAAACAAATGAGGTATGGCTTGAGACTTTTGCACAGAGGTCACCGATTAGGAAGGTCCATTAGTGAGTCAATCTTCTTATAAATCCTTTGCTTTTTCTTCAGACGTTCGTCAGGCGTCGTCCTCCTGGCTGGTCTCCTCTCAGGCACTTGCTGTATGAAGTCAAACCCCATGCCACAGCTACATCTTCACCCTCACAACCCCCCACCACAGCTAAAACCAAAGAATCATCTGAGGAGGACACCACATCTGCCACACCGTCAGTTTCGCGTGACGCAGATGCGAAAGACCACCTCTTCCACTGCCCATCCAAGCCCTGGAAAGCTTTGAAGCCTCACCCCTCTGCAGCTCCTACCAAGGCTACCGTAGAAGCGGCTTCTCCACAGCCCCCAGCAGAGGGAACCTTCCTCGATAAAGACCTGCTGTCATAATTTCTTTCCTCAAGGGAGCCAGATTCATAAAAGAAAATTTCCACTTGTTGCGCTCTTCCAGCAGATTGTTTTTTGTTTTTGTTGCAGACTAGTTCTCTAGTTGCTGCAGGGAGTTTTGGGAGATGATGATAGTCTTGTAAGATGCCAGGTTTCAAATGATACAACAGATGGGTTCAGTTAATAATATTTTTTTAAGGTCTTGTAAGTCTTAAGAAAACTGAGGAAAAGAAACTGAAATTAAGACAGAACTCTAATTTTACGGCTCTCAAGAAAATGATGTCTCTTTGGAATCAAAGAGTTGAGTTCATCAAAGGATAGAGCAGTTTGTGTGCTGGTTTATGTGCGAATATAAAATGCTTACACATTGAAGCTTAAAATAAAATTAAAATTTGGTGGAAAATGTTCATGTTTTGCAAGATTTGTAGTGCCAGAGCAAACACAGCTGGGTCAATCTTTAACAAATTTATTTGTACATCTTCACAGAACACTCAGATGATGAGTCAGTCAGTCGGTCGGTCAGTCAGTAAGTCAGTCAGTTAGTCGGGGTACAAACCTTTACTCTTCGACCAGTGACCCAAAAACAAAACACAACATACATTTATAAATAAAAAAGCAAGTTACTGTGAGGGCAAACTTGTCCTAGAAACTAGCAAACTTAAGGCATTCATTTATAAATGTCTGTATGGCTGCCTATTAGACTACAATATAAAAAAAAAGGAAAACAAAATGCAGCAGGAAGAGTATTCAGCTTCACCCAATATCATGCAGGTAGGCTGTGAGTAACAATACATTGGCCCGGCGTACATTCATTCATAGTATAGGCTAGAGTTCTGACAACATGGTATGTTATGGAAATATATTAGTGCTGCATACCAAAAAACAAAGAAAAAAGTATTAACATGAAACCACAGAGCATGTAGCCATGTGTGAGAGTCTGAGACACTTCTGAACCTCCAAATTGAATATAAATGATCAATATTTCACATATTTTGTCCATATTTTGATTCCCTGCAAGTCTAAGGGTTCAAACCCCTCCACATCTGTTCAATTCACTGAGAGAGAGAGGGGCCGCCGTTGCTTCATTTCTAAATATCGGGTTCCATACAATTAAAAAGATGGTGGACACAATAACATGAACACCAGGTAAACAAATAGGAACAGTAACAGAGACACCTCAGACTAGAAGCAGTACACTATAGTCTTCACAGAGGCTGCAGAATTTTACATTTGCTTGGTGTTTGTGTTGTTATGGTCACAGTGAACCATTTTCCCTCCGCTCTCGGTTCTTTGGACACATAGGGGGTTTAAAGACAACCAACAGTCATCTCTGACGTCAGCTGACTCTGCAAGATTGCAAAACAACAGCGAGGTATCTTTGTGATACTCTGTCCCCTGCACATAACCCAATCATACAGTTAAACTGCAACAAATGGAGAGAAATCAGATCCTGCGATGGCATGATTTGTAAATCTGAACCTGTGCTGAGCCATGTGATGGTTAAAAGGAAAGAAAAAAGAAATCAGTTCAGGGAGAAAATGGTAGTGCAACAGTTACTGCAGAGGTACTGCACCACTTCAGCACCAAAGCTGAGGGATTAGAAGACGTTTTAAACGAGCATGGTCTAAAGAAGACGCCCACATTTCCTCCTACGTTTTCCCCCGTGATGTCAAAGCTGCCACCTGATCTCAGAAAATTTGAACTCAAGCGCAACTTTAGTTCTTCATTAGCTGAAAATGCATTTCTGCGGCATCACTAACATTTACTGAGGGTGTCAAACAGGCAACCTGCACACGATGCTTCAGCAATCGGTACAACACACACAGACCCCTACACCTCAAATCTAAACTGACAAAATACAGCTGTGGTTTCGATTCATGGTGCTTCAAGTAAAACGACTGATTTATGAAAAAGAAAAAAAAAAAAGTTTACCCTCATTTATGTTTCCTTGCAAATGATGCAAAAAACAGCATTTTTTGTGTGTCTGTTTGTTTTTCTTCTCTGGCACAAACCAGCCAGGAGAGAAAATGATTTATAAAACATTTAAAGACACCTTTGCTGCTAGTGTCATCACACACAGACGCAGAACATGTACATACACACAGTGTGTAGGGTTTTCATTGGAGCCCGCCAATGAAGCTCTGCAACCTGTACAGAACGGAGCACGCACACGCTCGCACACTTTGTTTGGAGAGTACATGGATATTAAAGAGAACACTACACATGAAGCCTACCATAGAAAAAAGGCTAGACTGTAACTGTACATACATACTGCTTAATGCTGCTTCAAAATGTACATCTTACATACATACATACTGGTTATGCTGCATGCATACTAGGCTAACTTTCTTCTTATAGAGTCCTTCTGGACAAAAAGGCATTGAGAACTAGAGTTTTTCTTTAAGTGCATACCACAATATTTTTTATTTTTATTTTTAAATTGTAAAAGTCTGTAATATGCCTCACTGCATGACACTGTTCAAGCATTAGCTTTTGCAGACATCAGCGATGCTGTCCGATTTGGCACGTAGAGAAGACAAAGGAATGCGTTCTGTGCTGATGACCTGCTGTGTAGGGATAGAAACACGTTACTGATGCAAAAAGATGAGTCATCAATGTTAGCGACTGAATACATTCTAGCCATTAATGCTGCAATGATGTGACGCACGTGCGCGCGCCGCATCGCGACAGAACACAACTTTGGCTTTTCTATACAATCAGCAGTTGAAGCGGCAAAGTGCAGACTGTTTCCCCACAGACACGCCGGGTCTCATACTGTAGTGTCCTAGTGTCTTTCCTACATGCACCGTGAGAGGCTCCATTTCTTGTAAAATACTACATTCTCTCCTTAGCAGAGCACAGCGTGAGTTCCACCAACTACGGCCTGCCCAAAAGACACTATAGTTTCCAAGCTGCTTCATGTAACACTGCTAACTCTTCTTCTTCTTCGTATCTCATAGGCCCCCCACCCAAACCCCCCCCAACCCAAAACGGTTTTATACCTTTTTTTCACGTCTTGGGTTATACACACAAACTGAGCATTAATATGAATATTCATTGTGCCAATCACATGACCCCAAGCTGCCCCAAAGTGCAAACAATCTGTTTAAATCTTCATCTTTCATCTTTCAATACATTTTCTGCCACCTGGACAAACAACACAATTGAAGGAGTCGATCCGATATCTGCTGAGCCAGCGCCCACTTTCAGAGGCTTCCAGCTGAATTTCTGAGGACTTCATCTCGTAACTAACTAACCTCCCCCTCGAGACACTCATGCTACTATTTCAATGTGATTTTCAAATGTAAAAAAACAAAACAATCCCCAAACAACCAAAAAACAAAAACAAAAATACAAAACCAACATAATTCAGTGTCTCCACTTGGCAAAAGACTGCAAGCCTCAAATCAAATGTTTCAAAAACACAATTTAAAATATACTTCAACATTTTAGCAACTTTCTAATGAGAGATGTGTCAAGACCCACCAGTCTAACAAGGTCAAAAGGACCGCTAAGGCGGTCAAATCATTCTCTAAGCCTGCCATGCTTTTTGACTTAGTGCTGTAAGGGTTTGCTTAGGCAGAGTTTGTAGGGCTCAACAGTGTGCAGTGTTGTGCTGTGATGCCAAGGCATTTAATCAAGAGGAAGACTTGACATTCCCCAGGGCCTCTGCTTGCCAAAAAACAAAACAAAACAAAACAAAAACCACAGCCAGAGGCTTAATATAGGTCCCATTATTCAAATGTGAGATTGGCACTTTAACGCTTTCCATTTTGCATCATTTAACAAATTATCCCAAGTAGGGCTGTAAACTAGCCACAACGAAACAGGTAAGGCCAAATTAGATGTTAAATATAAGGAAAAAAAAGCTTAAAACCCCCCCAAAACAACAACATCAGTCTTTGTGAATATAACAAAATTGAAAATTGAGGGGTAAAGTAACAGGGGTAAGCGGTAGCACTGGTGGTAGTGTGAAGCTGCAAACATGTAACACAGATGCTTCAACCTCAATTATATTTACAGATACACGCACACACACGCACACACACACACACAAAAAAAAAAAAAAAAAAAAACATGTTTCTGAAGAGTCAAGTTCAGGTTTTGCCTTTTGCTGAAACTGAAAGAAACTAGTTACATAAATAAATTTAAAAAGTCATAATAAATCTGTAAATTATTCTCTAAGTGCTGTTTTTTTGATGGAGAGGCATCATCACCCTGAAGTTTATGCAAGAGTCTAAAGCTGCACCACCATCTCTGGGGTGAAGTGCTGACTCAATGAGGCTGTTTGGAGTGGAGGGTGGAGGCCCGCAGATCCGTGCAAAACAACTCAAAGACTCTCCTGCAGATTTGCAACCTTGACGTTTCCACACAAGGAGTTCAAAGGAAGGAGAGACAACTCCAAATCATCTGCGAAGGGGCGACTTCACCACAAAGATGGGGGAAGACATCATAAAGGCTCCCGTGCACCAGTTATCCCATACTGTACAACAAACCGCAGCTAATTTAGACTATTTCTTGTGCCAACTAGCTCCTCAGGGGTGACAAGATTTTAAAAAAACAACCTCCATTCTAGGTGGAGAAAGTGTGCAGCACTAATACAGCAGAGGGGGCAGCAGGTTGAACTGTGTGGCTACATTTATACCTTGGCAAAAATGTCATCTTTACACTGAGTTTTCCGGGTTTTGGTTTTTATCACTGAGCAATGGAGTAAAAGGATAAGATTTTCCTTGGTTGCCCAGTTTGTTCCTGTTGTGGTTTAACAAAAAAATACAGAGGAAGCATAATAGCCATGGTGGGTACACCTCCACAGCAACAGGAAAATGCTCCCATGTAGACCCTGAAACAGGCAGCGGATACTCGGACGGCATCATCAAGACCAAACAAAAAACAAAAACCCAAAAAACACAGAAACACAAGAACCTCGTTTAGAAAAAGAAAAATGCTGTAAAGAAAAAACAGATCAAGCTGCAAGCATCCATCCTCACGGAGCCATTTGTGATATCTGCTGTAAACGAGAAGAGCCTTGAAAGACTCTGCTGCGTCTGAGTGAAGTACTCCATGCTGGGACTGGTGGATTGGGTTTGTCTGCAGCATCAGTTTAGTGCATGCTGTCTAATTGTGTGGAATATCCAGTCCATCTTGGTGGTCCACCCTCCATGGTGAGCATCATTCATCTGCTTCATGAAATAGTCCAGCGCCTCCTGCAGCGTGAAGAAAAACAATACAAACCATCCAAAACACATATTCAGAAGTTTAAGAAAGCCAAATGTGGGCCTGAAAAGATTTTAAAAGAACAAAACACGGTTAGAGAATGGCCACATTTACCTGCTCGGTTTTCTCCAGTGCCAGCGTCTTTCTAATGTAGGCAATGTCGTCAAATGACTGCAGCTCAGGCATGCCAGAGCCGAGCATCATGGAGAACAGGTTGATGAAGAGGTTGGCGTGCTGCCTGATGGCTAGGTAGGCTTTATAACACATCTCCTGAAACCTAAAGTGATTGTAAACTTTGATTAACAAAAGTGAATCTTCTTATACAGTCGTATGGTACTGAGGAAGTGACCAGACAACATACACACAAACACATTACTGAAGTACCTTTCAAACTCTTTGGTCTTTGCGCACTCCTGGGATCCTTTGCTGATGACGATGAGAAAGTCTTGTGTCAGAACAAAGGGCACTCGCTCTCTTTTGTAGCCAAACTTCTTTTTCTTATGATCCAGGAAATGGCCAAAATCTATATGAAATAACTAAAGAAGAACAAATAAAGAACAACAGAGAAAGTCAGTAACTAACAATCCAGGTTAAATCCAGCACCAACTTAGCGATTTTTACGATTTATCACAGGCTGTATTAACTATTAATGGTCTGATACCATCATATTGCTGGTTTATGATGCTTGCTTGATGCACCAAAGTCGCTTTGACTGACAGTGGCAAGTTCATTGCTCACAGACCAATAACTCTGATTGTTCCACTGTTTCCAACAACTGTTTGTCTCCAGTGTAACTCGAGCATTAAGGAAAGTGGCCATGCCAGCTCCTGTTCTGGAAAATGAGGAACTCTTTGTTGAGTTTGTGAGAGTTACCAGAGAGCCACACAGCAGCTGCACAAAGCCACTGTTAAAACGGATGCCAAGTTACTGAAATCAGACTTAAAGTGTCCCAATACGCCTAAGATTAAAAACGTATACCAAATACGTTGTGTCCCCAAAAAGGAAAGAAAGACCTAGTTCAAATAACATTAAAACCACGTCTCTCTTCCCCTCCAGACAAGGAATGCTAGACAAGACCCGCTGAATATGGATATTAAAACATACCAGGATGCCTTTCCTGACATATTTGTCTCTCTCGACATATATATTGTTAAAATATTTCGCCCAGCCCTGCTGCGTATGTGTGCAAATTCAAGTCACCTGTCCATCATCTTTGACCATAATGTTGCTGTTGTGCCTGTCTCCTATCCCAAGGATAAATGTAGCTACACAGTAGCCAGCACAAGACCTTGTGAACAGATCTACAGCCATGTCATACCTGCAAAAGCACACAAACACACAATTAACTTGGATTTTTAAAGAGAAATTACAAATCAGTACATGGCTAAAATCAAATCAAATAATGTCCATCCACAAACTAAAAGTTCTCTGACACTGCTCACTAGTGCCAAACGGAGACGTTGCACAAAGTATCAGGACAAAACTCACATCTCGCCCTTGTTCTTGTCCTTGAGCCACTGATGCAGAGTATTCGAGTTGAACTGCAGTGCCCCTTTCAAGCCTCCTTTACACTGAATCTGCATGATGGTGTGGGAGTTGCGAACCACCTCAATGAGACCCACACAATCTCCTAATGACAAGCAGCCATAGGGCAACATCCTGACGACAAAACACATTTTCTTCTTAGCCAAATGCACGGTCACAAGGATAACACACACACACACACAAAGCAATAACAGGAGAGAAAGAAAGTAGTACCGTAGGTCCAGTCCCTGATTCTGCCAAATGTTCTCCATGATCTTAATAATCTGCAATGTCAGCATGTCCTGGCGCAAGTCTACAACACAGATGCACACACGCACACAATAGAGACAGTTAATTGCATCCTTGGATACCTACAAATGAAACAAGTACACAATATAAGGATCAATTATTCCAATTATAATAGACAAAGCTCGCCAAGAAACTCTGCATGCTCTAATCAGCAACATTAAGGACAAGGTCGTCCAAACATGCTGCAGCCTTCATATAACAAACCACAAAGTGTGAGCAGTTCTCACAAAGCTATCACAAAAGGAGGAGGACCGAGAGACAGCTACAAATGTAGGCAGTCATTAAAAGCTTTCCACTAATTTCCTCAAAATATATTAATGGAAATTTGGTAGTGTTGCTCAAAGTGTCGTCAGTGTAAATGACTTTTTCTGTGTGTCAGCGTTACCATCTCCATTTTTGAAGATGATTTCATTGTTCTGAAAGAGCATCTCAGACATAATGTCGGGATTTTCCCAGTTCAGCCACAAAGGCCTCTTTGCTGACGACATAATCCTGCATTCATCTAACCTGTAAACAAATTCAAAAAGATTCAAGTTACGGAACAGATACACACACAGACACACACACAAAATAATCTCTTGCTTCTGACCTCAAGTTTCCAAGTTGATGCGCAGGGTTTAGAGGAGACGTAAAGTTCTGCAGGGCATCCATGTAGTCTGGCCTCTTCATCTGTTCCACAAGAAACCGCATCTGGACCTGCATGACAGACACGTACACAACCACAAAAAAGTCAAAATATACACAGATGAGGAACCAGTTCCACAGCATGTTCCTTATACTGTAAGCAGCAGTTCTGACATGTGTTGTCCTAATCATTACCTTCTGCGTCTCATCCTTCTTCTCCTGTTTGAGGATGTCGGTGAGGTTTATGAGCTTCTCCATGGCCTCTACTTGCCTGCTGAGGTGTTTTAGGTACATGCCACAAGCACGGCAGTAAGCCTCTAACAGCAGCCCAAATCTCTGGCTCACTGTTTTATTGTGCATTTCTGACCTGCAAGAAAGCCACATCGAGAAAAATGAGAGAGAAGCAGAGAGGAAAGATTAGTTTTTAAGCCTTCTGGAGGGATACAGTGAAAGGAAGGTACATGTAACAAAAACAAACAGAATGCTGACTCACTTGAGATGCCAGAAGAAGAAATGTCCTATTCTCTGATTGGTCAGGGCCTTTTTGAGGAGAAAACGGGCCAGGGGATTGTCAAGATACTGCTCGTATTTTAAAACCTAGAAGAGAGGAAAGATTGAAAGAAAAGAATAAGAAGCAGTCCTTGATGCCTTCCCACCACGGGGTCTCTGTACACTGAACACCAAATACAACCCAAGGCATTACAGACCAGAAAGTCTTTAGCAAAGAAGAACAGGACGAACAAAAACACACAGGCTGAAAGGAGGAACTCCAGTAATGAGATTCCAAACATACTTGGTGTCTTCCTTTTTAACCCAGTTTTTCCATTTATCAGTTCTTAAAATTCAACAGATCCAACACTTGACTGGACCTACCTGTACAAGCTGGATCAAGTACTGGGACAATTTGTCATCAGTCAGGTATTTGTCAAGGCAACGTACAGCAAAGTGCCTGACCATGGGGTCTGGATAGTTACAGTCCAGCAACTCCATGGCCTGCTCAGGACGGATAGACGGCCACTCCTTCAACAGACAGTACATCTGGAAACAGGCAAACCAAGAATGATGAAGATGTGTTCATTAGTAACACACTTACTTAAATGAAAAGCTTTTTTTTTTTTTTTTTTATAAGTTGGTGATTATGCAAAGAAATGCTTTGTACAAAGTAAATGACAATTTTCAAAAGCAGTTTCAATCTAACTGTGTACATAAACTAAACATCCTTGAATATTCTATGTCTGAGATGGAATAGACAATTATGTGGCAGGAAATTACCTGTGCTACTTCATCTCTGGAGTTCCACTTGACCGCAAGAAGGATCTTGGGAAGGATCTCTGGGATGTTCATGCAGTAGTGCCTGTTTAAAAAAAGGATTGACATTGTGCTTTGGACTGGAGTTTCATTCATAACCAGCTTTGTTTTACATTTAAGCCCCTTTTCCATTAGTACCTGCTCAGAAGGACTCACCATGGCTGCGACAACTCGCCTTGGATCAACTTGTTTTCCAATGCAATTGAGTACCAGCTAATGTGTGTGGTTGTCATTATAGCAACATTAAAGAGAGTCCTGTGACGAATGCTACAACAAAGGTGGACATCAAGGCAAAAATATACCTGCTGCTAGGTCTGTGGTTTTTTTTCTCAGACTCGGGGACCACAGTGTTGTTTTTTTGTAGCCATTTCCCTCGTTGCTGGGTTTCAAAAATGACTGTTTTGATTTTCATGAATGAGACACACTCATGACTCATCGAGTGACACCACTGACCAGCTAATTGGTTGCACGCAGTGTGACGACAACACATTTTAGTACCTGGTACCAACTGACCTAATGGAAAATCTGTAAAAATTGTGGCAAACCATGGTGAGTCGATCCCAGTTGGGGCTTTAGAGTACTCTACATTTAAATGTAGCAATGGAAGCATTGGCCCTAAATAAAGTATGCAGTAACACAGCGTAGTGCCATATTTGCTGATTGAGAGGGTACCTGTGTCTCCAGAGAAAGTCTTTCTCCTGCTCAGTGATTTCTGACAGAGGGTCTCTGTTACTCAGCTGTCTCAACTGCTCGGTGTCACTCTCCGTGAGGGCGTGATCTCTGGCCACTCGATTGCTCTAAAACATACCAGAAATAAAACACATTCAAACACTACATTTTTACATTAGACTCAACACGGTAGCAGCAATTAACAAGCTATTAACACGGTTATAGAATACCTTCACAACAACACCAGCAAACAAGATAATGCTTTGATCACATAAAAGTTAGGAAGCAACAAAAATGTATCATATTCACTGGGGCTCCATGTGTAAATGAACCATGATTGTGTTTTTATGCTTGTAAAACAAGAAAAAGTCTGAAAAGTAACAGAATATTTTAGAGGCACAGCTGCAAAATGACAGATTAGCTGTGAAATGTTTCTACTAAACACTGAGACAGAGTTAGAGTGCAGCTGGAACACAGCACAACCACATACAGTGTAAATTCATCTTGAGACTCAGACTTTTATACGACCCCAACAATGAACTGTAATCCTGAATTAAAGCTTTCCCTTCGTTCCTTCATCACATTCATAAGACAAGCATAAAATCTGTTGGAAACTGGCTTTGCCCTCCGTCCAGTCATTAACAAACATCCTTAATAAATACTGCAGACAACTCATTCTTTTTCCGGATGAGCGATATTAACGTCACATCACATAGCACAAGACGGGCGCTATTACACTTGACACGCATATCATAAATAAAACATGAGCTCACACTGTTCACATCCTCTCACATGGCACAGTAACTCCAATAACCTGTCACTTTAACACATCAGTCACGGTTTTCTCTCACATAGAAATCAAATAAGACACGCCATCATGTTCACCGTCATAATAAATAAAGACATTAACTTACACAGCGCCTTGCAAAGTACTGGAAATAACTGAATTAATTAAGTTTAATCTAGTCAGCAGTGATATTTTTTTTCCATAAATGCCCAAAATAAACTGAAGGGGGGGAGTGGACTGTGGGTTTTTTGTCGCATGTTTCTGTGTGTTTGGAGTTCAGTGGGTTTACAGTTTAGTGGGGCTTCATTAGCACTTTGTGACTACAGCTGTTCACAGCACAGCTCGACATGACCAACCCCTCACACAGTGGAAAACCCTAACTGACGTCAAAATAATTTGTGCTAATTGCGTCTGTGCTGCCAATAATGTTAAATGCATACAAATGTTTTGCTAGAGGCAGCACTATTTTGTGAAGACAAACTGCATTTTTGCACACCAACATAACATAGACATGAATAACGCCCAACTATATTTAGAGCTGACCTTGCACAACGCACATATCTGTGCTTGCACTGTGGCATGTGAGCAGACGTGAATAGTGTGAGGTGATGTGCTAAGTTATTCATGATGTGTGTATCAAATGTGAGGAATGCTCAACTCATACTATATGGTGTGAGGATCATGTGATCATAACAAAGGCTCTGTTCATACCTGGAATTAACAATGGTCTTTGGAGAGCCAATCATAAACAGACACCTCCTGGAGTGTCAATTCACACCCAGTATTAGAAAAAAAAATGTCCACATCCATGTTATTGGATCTCATTTCAACATTTTACTTGAACATTTAAAGGCACATGCTAAAGTCAGGCCTGTATGAGGCAGCGGTGGTCTTTCCATGCCTGGTCTGTTGAGCAGGGTTCACTCCATTTTAACCTAAGGCACATTTGGACAATCTGTGCTACAACACTGCAGTCATTTGTGGCCCAGTCAACCTCCAAATGTGGCCTGAGACATTGGATCTCAGTACAATAAAGCACACACCTTTGACCTTTTAAACAAATGACTCAATATCTCAATCTACATACAAGTATTATGTATAAGCCATATGAAAAGAAAGCAAATATTTGAACTCTGCCAAGTGCAAAATAAATGTTTTGCCAGTGTGTATCTGAAAGTGAATATTTTATTGTATTTAATATTAATGTAACTAAAGTATATGTCTGTTTTGCAAATTCACAACTGCCTATAACAAGTATAATGGGGTTAATAGTTCTTATATTCCTGACCTGCTTTACAGAGTTCACACCTACAAGACTCATGCTGGTCACAGAGATAAGTTTGGAAGACATTTTCTTATATAAAGGCTGTGGGGACCCTATCTGCAACCAAGTGTGTTGGCTTAAAGTTAGCTGAACACATTTTTTACACTCTTATATTACCTGCCCTGAGAGGTTGTAGTTGAACCCTAGTTCCCTTGAGATGGTCCAGTTTGCGTGATCTTCCACTGCATTCATGTCTGGGTATTTGACAGGACTACTAAAGTGGTCAAACTCCAGCTCTAGACATGGTGTTTCCTGGAAAAATAAAGATTAAAAAAATCTTTTTTATAAAACGAAATACATTCGTATTCCTCATTTTGTGGTTACAGCTCGGTTATTTGTTTTGTTTGTTACATTTATTGACAAGATGTTATACGCAAATACCTTATTTGGGTTCGACCCAGTGACTCCGATGGGGTTCAGGAGGTCTTCAAGACCATGGGGGACAGGCCAGAGATTCAGAGCCATCTTGTTGGCCACCAGCGTGTGTGTATAATCAAACAAGTTGACATTACCCCATGCTAGTGGACAATGCTCCTGGGAAACAAGACAAACACAAATACCATGCATGTTATTTCAAATCACAGAGATTTTTAACACGTGACAACTTTGACTAAAGTTTACCTCACATAAAACTAAATACAATTATGATACAGTAAGATAACTTGGCCCACAAAGGGGTTCAGACAAGAGACAGGATACTAAGACACTTGGTCCAGTGAGCCTTAAAACTGGTAATTTATCATCCATGCTGCTGAAACTCTGTACGGACTCGGCAGGCTCCTTGGCACCCAGACCAAAGGTTAGGTTTCATTCTTGGTTAGTGAGACAAAAGTGATGCTCTTTGGTGGATGCTGTTAAATTGCCTTCTTAACTATAATGAAATAATGGCCACAGTTGCTAACTCTGAAAGGTTAAGTATATGTAAGTGAATGTGGTTGATACTTATTTTCTTTGTTATTCAGTAACAATGTATTTAACCATGCCATTCCCATCAAAGCTGCCTTTTAAAGGCCTGACAAAGGCTAGTAAAACGTTTCTGATAACATCTTGATCTTCACAGTGAATTTTCACTACAGGGCAGCATTTGAGCCAGATGACAGAGAGAGTGACAGATAGAGTTACAACATGCAAGCAGCCAGTCAAAATGCACCTATTTATGGTAAGCTGTGGAACAATGGGCTGCTGTAAAAGGAGTGTTTATCTTTAATTCAGGTGGGGCATGAAAAAGCATCCACTAACCTGACCGCAACTTAACTTGGCACAACAAGAGACGGCACGGGTGTTACATTATCCACCATTGGGACACACTTCAAACACACTCATACACACATCTAGCTCTTCCCTCAATGTTTCCATCAGAAGGAGACGGAAAGATGAAAGAAAAATCAGCAAGTATGGTATATTGGCCACATCCACAAAAACAGACCCATGCCAGTTTTACACCACACGGTAAACACAGACGCCATGTGGTGTAAACAACATGTAGAAAGACTTTTAATGCCACTTTGCAAGTATCAAGAAGAGGTCATTCTGCAACACCACAAATGATTTTCTGATCAAAAATTTGAAAAAACAAATTTGGAATCCACCACTTCCTGTTATTATGTTACTCTGATGTGAGAATAACTAGCACTTTTCACCACATGCCTACACCTATTATATGAATGGAAAAATCCCTCCAGCCGATTGTGTTTCTGTTGATGTTTTTTGCCACCACAGTGCCTACGGCTGATTAGTAATTAAACAGAGCCAAAAATGATACCACAGCATCCATTTACTGTGGACACATATACTCAGACAAACTGACACACAGGGTACAGCAGGTTCATTCATGATGCACAAGCACACACACACGTCGGGTATTTATATCTTGTGGGGACATCTAATTGAGATAGCCTCTCAATTACTCTTTCTCTAGCCACTTACTCTAAACATATTGTTACCCTGACAGTAAAACCAAATTTTGAGTCTCAAAATGGGCTTGCAAGAGATTCGCTTTCCATTTTAAATCATTTGTAATCATCAAAAATACCTTAAACTACCCAGGTTATTAAAGTTTCACTAAAAAATGGAATTTCACAATTTTACCAATACCAACTAAAAGGCATAACAATGACAACCAACTGACACTTTCTATTTTTGCAAGCCAATTTCCTTTCAATAATGAACTCAAGCAGAGCTTTGGAGCTCTTTCCTACCTCCTTGGCTCCCTTTCTGCCCTTGACAGAGCAGATAGAAAGGCAGAGTCTGGCAGCACGGGGGATGTCTGGGATGTACATATCATACGTAAGCCACTCATTCCACCTGTAGCAAGAATGAAAGCAATTAGAAAAGTCCAGATATATATGAACAATAAAATCTCAGGTGCATGTTAAGCTATATTCCAAAAAGGTTCTTAAAAAAATCTCTAAGATCTACCAAACTATTTCCAGGTTCTATCTCAGAGAAAAATGAATGCTCACACACATTACAATGACACACCTCTCACTGAGGTCACAGTATATTTTAAGCAACAAAATTTAATTACACAAACAAATGTCAGATGTCTTTGTTTTAACACACAAAGGCTCCAATATACATTCATCTAAATAATTTTATTTACTTTGAGAGCGAGTGAGGACCAACACAGCATTCACAGTAATATAATCTGGCAGTTTAATGTTACTATCCTGAGCTAAACTGTTAACTTACCCTCCTGCCTCCAACTGCTTAATGTAAATGAGTAGTGTAGACTGTCTACAGGGAAACTTCAGTAAAACACAAAAGCGAATTAAAGCAGGATTCATTTTCTTTATCTGGCACAAAAATTGACTGTCACCATGGACTGCTGAGGTTTTCCATCTAAGGTTCAATATAGTGAACTGAGAGGCTGGACAATTACCTGGGATTAGAGCAGGGTACCCTCTGTGTATTTACATTGTCACACATCTGTTCACCTCCATGGTAAATGCCTGTCCTCACATATATCTATATTGAGAGGGAAAGCAAAATACATCAAAGGGGAAAGTTAAAGAAGAAAAATAATCTGGCAGTTTAAATAGATTCACAAATGGGATTCCACAAATCCACATGACAGCTGCTTTCCCCCTTATTGAGAATCACTGTTCACACCAGATCTCAGCAATAACCACTAACAGGATGTAAGTAATGGTAAGATGTTGCAAACTGTCATATGAAACTACTCACAAGCAATTCTTAGTTTCAGTTCATGTACTTATGTAACAATTGCTAAGTCAACTGCAAAAATGTAACTTCTGTTCTTTGGTGGCTTGACTGGTAACAAAAAGGTCAGCCCTCACACTTGAGCTGGCCCCACCTTGTCTATGTCCCGTATATTGACGTTAACATAGGTGGCACACAGGATTCGTATTCGTAGAGTCCCGTTGATGGTCCACAGAGACTTGGCAGCTGCCTCCCCATTCATATACGATGTTGCCGTGGAGATGCGTCGAGAATATGATGGCATGACAAAGTTATCTGTAGGCAATTGGGTGTACAGGCTGTCCTTCGCCATTAGCATCAGGTTAGGCATCCTGCCCAGCATGATGCAACTACGGATATACTAGAGGGAGAGACAGAGACGGGGAATGACGCAGAGAAGGACAGTTAGTAGAAAGTCTACACAGAGCTACTGAGCAGATAGAGTTTCAGTGTCAAGGTGTGATGCTATGATGTCAACTGGTCATTTTCCAGGAACTGCAAAGGAAAAAAAAAATGGCACGTTTCTGGATTTTTCACCTTTTCTCTGAAGGAATGTTTCTGAAACATGTTTTTATGAGAGTGTTCTCACAAAATGACATAAAATAGAATTCTTACAAGTAATGGACACATTTTACATATCTACAATACTTAATAAGATCTTATAAATAAAAAGATCTTTAATGGATTTACTGATAAATATTGACCCAAAAGACTCTGTGACCTTTTTTTCTTTAATTAAAATGACTTTTATCCCTTTAAGGCAGCAGGGCTGATTCAGTGTTAGGATTTCAGTATGGGTCTGTCAATCACTGTATTCTATTGTGGTTTAGTTACGATGCAAGTAGATCAATACTCACTTGTAAATGATTAAACCTTTGATAAAAACTCCTCTAGGTTTACAAGAAACTGTCGAACGATCACAGTCCACACAGTGTTATCGCTGCAGGATAAAGTTGCCAGCATCCCTATAGGGGCAAATTTCACTGACTGAAAGCCCAGGTTGCACCTCTAGGTGCGTGTGGCTGCAATCAGCCAGGATCTTTCCCCCATAGAAGTTTGCTGAATGAGGATTTGGGTAGGAAAAAAAAAAAGAAGTGCAGTCTTTGCATCAGAAACTGCTCAATAAACTGTATTTTTTGGACATAGCTATGAGAGACACAGCAAACAGTGAGTTAAGATAAAAAAATACTGGACATATCGGAAAGTCCAGGTGTTCATGATTATGTAATTGCATGGCTGTTTGTGTGCACAGCTGGGATCCTCAGTGTTGTGTCAAATTTATCTGTGCAGTATGCCTCTTTACCTTGTACTGGCTGATGGGGTACTTTTCCAGCAGGTACTCGTCACAGCCGCAGACTTTGAGGATGTATTTACCCTGATATTCCTGAACACACATCTTTAGCTGCTCTGGGGACAGCAGCATGCTTCGTGTCTTCTTACGAATGGCCTCTGCAATCACCTGCAGAGCACCATACATGCAGATATTAAGGTGGTGAGTATTATTTACTACTGGACTGTTGTATAGCTGGTATTCACACTGCTCAGGTATCTTACCTGTTCAGGCACACAGTCGTGGTTGATCTTCAGTGTGTACTTTTGCTTGTCATTATTTGGAGAAACAATCACCCATATTACAACAATAATTTGACCTACCAAAAAAGAAACACAAAAATAGATCAAAACACTTTTCCATTGCACTGACAAAAAAACAAAATTAACTATCGTAAGAAAATTAAAATGCCCACTAGGTTCCTGTTTTTTTTTATTTCACATGTAAAAGTTTTCTTTATATATAATGTTCGTAAAAAAAAAAAAAAAAAAAAAAAAAAAAAAAAACACACACACATATGAGCCCTGCATTTTCAAAATGTTTTTCCCTAGAGAAAATAAAAGAAAAAAATATGGATCATTGACAAAAGTTCTTGCCTACCTTTGTCCAGTTTGCTATAGATGTGTTTGGGAAGTTCCTGTGTTGACTCTACATTAGGTGGGTAAACGTACAGCGCTCTGCTGTGGGGCCCACTGGCATCTCTCAGCTCCACAGAGTCTTTACAAACATTCAGGATGTTTCTCCTGAAGTCCTGAACCTCAGAGTCCTTCACAAGGTCAAACTCACACACAGGCATACCAATCGCGAAACCTAACAGAACAGAAACAAGAAATGGCTTAAAAGTTTTAGCAAAAGTCATCAGACAATCTTTTTAGCTTGCCTCCTAACAAAATTCTGAGTAATTCACAGATTGTTGCATCTTCACTCTTTTTGGTTTATCAACAATCAGTAATAAACAGAGGAAAAATACTCACTTAAAATTGACTGTTTTGCTACACTTAGATTTCTTTTAACTTAACAGACACATATAAAGATATTCTATGATATGATATATCATATTATAATATAATATAATTGACTTATCATCTATTTATTTATTTATAATAACAATGTTGGAGCACAACCACTACTTAACAAATAAAATGAAACTCTCACCAATCTCTCTGTTGAGGATCTTTTCCTCTCTGTTGCCAACTGGTTCAATGACCTTGAGGAAAGGCTGAAAGAGTCGGAGGTCGCACAGCCTCCGGGTTTCATCATAGAACTCCTCCCGCTCTGCTTCCTGTAGGAACGGAAAAAACAAGAGATTGCGTTCTATATTCCATTTTCGTTTATTGTTTTTCAGGAAAGACAACAATGAACTGTTGTGGTAGCCAGCAGTCTCTCTATAGGTATAAAATGGATGGTTCAGAAAAGCACAAATGTGTTTAAAGGTCTTGAATAAAGATGAACGTTTATTTTTTTTGTAAAACCATCCAATTAAAACAAAGTGGGTTATCCCTGTAATTTTCACAAAACTGGAACACAGATTTAGAGAGTTTAGATATTCAACTGAGTGAGAGTTCTCACCTGTGTAACGCTGACGAAGATGTAGGATGTCTCTTCCTGTAAGAGGTGATGGAGAGGATATTTTCGGGCCTCCTTAAACAGCTCATGTTTGATGGTGATGAGCGTGGCCTCACGGAGACACTCCAGGGTCAGAATCATCCCATTGGGCAGCAGGCAGTCCACCAGAATCCTGCAGAAGAGCCCATCATCATTACAAAATGTTCATGTTCAGCATTACGCTTTCTTTGGGAATTGGATATGGCATTTACAAAACAAATACATACAATTAATTTTTTTATTTCCAATAAAGGAAATTAAGGAGCTAATAAAGTCCTTCTGTGCACACCAGTGATAGCAACTTCATTTCTTTTCACAGAACAATCCAGCATGTCATACCTGGGGGGCATCAGGTGGATGCCCCATAGCTCCCCTGAGGATGGCCTGGGAGGCATCTTTCTCTCTGTCTCCCAGCTCAGTTACACAGATAAGCTGCAGAGCGCAACCTGAAAAAGAGCAACACTCATTAGTGCAAATAACAGGAAATTCTGTTAAGCTCAAGTTGCAATGGTGACACCAATCAAAACAACTAGAGTGCTTCAATACAGTTTATATGATGTATTTGTTCATGAAATATGTCAAGTCAAAAACATGACCGACTGGCAAATCTTGTTCGAATGCGTATGAGCAACATACACAAGGTAACCCATGGCACGTTTATTGTGACTTTAAACACTCCATTAAGCACCTTAATGCATGAAATTTGATGAGTTATGGACCAACAGGAGCTACATCTGCTTGAATGGTTGCCAGCACTGCTTGCTCAATCTGCTTTACTTCAAAGTCACTGTGGTTTAGGCTCAGCTGTGCTCAGTGAGTTAAAGAGAACAAACATGTTCGATCAACCACATTAAAGCAGGGCTGAAGCTAGTTCTGTGAGCGCAGCACACACAACATGTGCAAAAACTGGAAGAGTTTGTCAGTCGAGAGTATATTACCAGCATAGCTGTTTTTTTTTTTAAAAAAGAGATTTACCTTACAGATAACATTACTATAGACAAATGCTTACTAGTTGATCACAAAGACCCATAAAGCATATTATCAAAAATTAATTTCTATATAGCCTTTACCCAAAGCAAGAGTAATCTAAAATATTAAATTATTCAGCTTTAAACATCTGTTGTTATACATGAAGCTAATTTGGAGTAACATTCCTGTCACATTGGTTTTCCACCCTGCCCTCACAAGAAAATACATTTTACTCAATTACTGTCTGTTTGGTTTAGCAATGTCATGGAGACAACCTTTGTTTGGATTCAGTCACATTTCCTGATCACGGTTCTAGTCTTGCACTCTCCTATATTTAGAGCATCACCTTGTAAAATTTCCAGTCCATTTGTTAGCAAGTCAAACTTCTGCCTGTGTTACCATTTGCTATCCTGAAACCATTAGTAGATATGTTTTGAAGTGGAGCTATAGTCAGTATATTAAGACTATAAAGGGTACATAATAGACAGAACTACAAGCACAGACACCAAGTAATGTACTACTATGGAAGGGATCAGCAACAATAACCTTACCAGTCCTTTGTGATATCTGTTACAATATAACAGCTTCTTCAAAGCCATCAGACTTCATTGACAAAAAGTTATTTATATTGTATTTAAAAGGTATATAACCTTCTTGATGAGTTCGTTTTTTTAAGTTCTTGTTTGACTATCCTGTTCTAACAAAGTTATTCAGATTTGAATTAACCCTCTAAAACATGAAGAACCATGAGAAACTGCTGTGTGAGAGCATGTTTAATCTGTGAAAACATTCCAAATTCAGACCACACTTGAAATGTTTTAGGCAAAAGTCAACCATATCCTTTTGGGAATCCAGGAGGGTTGACCGTCTATTTGATTCTCTAAGGCAGAGATCAAATCCAGCCAAAGACTTTCTCCACAACCCTAAAAATAACAATGCCTATGTCTTCTATCCCACTTTCACAAATTATCAAATTGTAGCACCCTGTGACAAGATGCCTACACCCTGCATTTCAACACATCCACATCAATACTTA